CCTAAAAAGCAATCAATGCCATCAATGGACACAATAGCTCTAGAAAAAAACTTCAAGTACCATCAACACCATCTAGTTGTAGACCTCAAGTACCATCAACACCAACCTTGAGGAAAAAAACAAAAAAGGAATTAGTAAAATCCCTTAACCAAACAATAACCAAATAACAAAGAATTAGTAACCAAAATAATAACCCTACATATGTCATTATCCACTACCTAACAAAATTTTAACAAAGATATCCTCATGGACCCAGTAAACATAGCTAGGTGAATGGAAGCATAAATAGGGGAGAAGCAAAATTCCTCTACCCCTTTATGGTTAGATGTACTCATTACACGATGTAAAAAAAAAAAAAACAAAAAACAAAGTATTAAATAACATATGGTAAATAAAGATAATGAAACATACGATATAGTATGCTTACTTTATGGATGTTACTCCTCTATGACCTGAGCTTTTAAAAAAAAAACAAAACAAAACAAAAAAAAGAAATAATAAGCAAAACAATCAATAAATAGCATGAAATTTACATTTAAAAAATTTATCAAAAGTTTGTTTTTGTGTTAGTGTATATGCGTGAAAATAAACCAAGGGAAAAAAAAAACAAACAAACAAAGGAACAGGGAATTCCAAAATGAGAGAAGAGAGATACTTCTGAAACTCATAGGTAGTAGGATTGAGGTTCAAAATCTTCCTTGGGAGCTTTTCTTTATCAACTGATGATGAAAGCAAATTCACGTCAAGTAAATACATGGTTATTCAAATGATAGCAAACAAATAAATACCAAAAAAATAAACTGTTAGGCAAAAAAAATAAGCAATTGACCACAACTTAGAGCACAATTGTTTGGGTAAATTAAATATAATGGGCATAGGCATGGGTCTTTTTTTTTTAAAACTAAGAATTATAAACAGAGTTAATATGCCTTCATTGTTGTTGGATAGAGATAGAGATTCCTTTCTACGAATATTGGCTTGAGAGAGAGAGAGGGAAGGTAACCGTATGTACATATGTATAAGGGTGATGTAAAATTTTCAATGCTATCTATCCCAGATGTAGAAATAGAAATCAATTGAATTTCTAAGATGTAGAAATCAATAGCAGACAAAACCTTCACCAAACTCATGTCAATAGTAATAGCAATAACAAAACCCATCTAGTACTGTAAAACCATCTAGTAAACAAAACTCAAGTCAATAACAAAACCCACCTAACCAAAGATGTAGAAATCAATAACAATAACAACTAAGTCAAACACTTCACCAGAAACACAATCCTAAATATTGGCCCAAAACACTAAATATTAGCACCAATTTACAAAACTCATCCATGTCATAATGGGTATAATTAACCACTAATCAAGGAAAGATCCATCTAAAATGCTTAGAAATCTTTGGATTCTTAAAATCTGATTATCAAAGAAGTACTCTGCTTTGATCAATCAAAAGTTTATGAAACTTCAAATATGCTCAACTGCTCTTGCCATACAAACCAACCCAATTCAAAAACCCACTTTACATATAAAACCTCTATGGTTCTCTTTCTCTTTCTCTCAATTTCTCCAATTCTCCACCATATTTTTATATTTGTATGTATAGATGAATGTATGTACTTACGTACATATGTATGAGGGTGATGTAAAATTTTCAATGCTATCTATCCCAGATGTAAAAATAGAAATCAATAGAATTTCTAAGATGTTGAAATCAAGTCAATAGCAATAGTAATAACAAAACCCATCTAGTACTATAAACCCACCTAGTAAACAAAACTCAAGTCAATAACAAAACTCACCTTCACCAAAGATTTAGAAATCAATAACAATAACAACTCAAGTCAAACACTTCACCAAAAACACATCTAGAATTTCAACCATTTCCTTAATTCTCTAGCAGACAAAACCCATCTAGAATTTCAAACACATCTAGTACTATAACATTTCAAACACATCCAGTACTGTAACTCATATGAAAAATAATTCAAAAAGAAACACTAAAATTCTGAAATCCAAAAATGTCAAACCCATCACCAAACTCAAGCAAGAACCAAAAGTACTATGACCCAAATCCAAAAGGAGAGAAAACCCACAAAAATATTATGGATTGCAAATTTGTAAGTTGTAGTTTACCTCTAAATGGTTGCGATGTCGTTGCAAGAGGAAAGAGGCGAAATAGGAGGGCAAAAGAAGAGAGTCGGTGGTCGATGGTCAAGAGGAGCGATGACAACAAGAGGCGATGAGAGGTGATCAATAGTCGGTGAGTGGTGCTGTCGTCATGAGAGGAAAGGGAGAGAGAGAAGAGCGTATGAAAGAGAGAGGATTTGGGCAGAGATAAAAGATGAGAGAGTTCGATGAGCGTGGATCTCTCTTCTGTAAGGAGTGGATGGGTATGTTTTGATATTTGAAATTTGGAAAAGTGAGGTGCGACGAATGAGGATGGGTGGTTACAGAGTTTATGGCTCTTGGGCGGGAAGTTTAGGTTGAGTGAGTGAGAAGGTTTTCATCTCTACCATCCATCTTCAAGCAGAAATGAATCATGACCATTAAAATGTCCTAATAAAACAATTGTCTTTAAGATAAATTCAAAAACCTTCTTCCCTCATTATCTATACTATATATTAAGCAAAATGGGGGTTTTAACCCTCAATGCCTGTGGGAGCTTCAATATGTCAATCCCAATTTTCTAATTTTTTGTTTTTTTAAAAAAAATTAACCTCAGCATTTATTAACTTTTCTCAACCTACAAGACTTTTTGACTTCTCTCATAATTACTGCAATACCTTTTCCAAAACAAATAATTTGTATATTAAAAAAAATTTAAAACAAATATAAATATCTATATCTATCTATTTATTTATATTTATCTCTAACCCACAAGTTTTGTGAGAGTTCTAATATCTGAACCTTAATTTCTTAAATTTTTTGATTTTTTTTTTTAAAAAAAAAAAAAAAAAAACTTAGCACTTATTAAATCCTTCCAAGTCTTTTTAACTTCTCCAATACACACACTCTTTTTAACTCTTCACATACTTATTGCAAACAATGAGTCTCCTTTTTATTCTCTTCTTATTGACTTCTCACTTCTACACTTTCAACTTCAGTGATCACGTATACAAACAGTAAGTCTTCTTTTTATTTTCTCCTTGACTTTTCCTTTTGTTTACTGTTTTAATATTGTAGTTAGATAGCGCATAAAAATATTTGTGATTGAAGTTAGTTAAAAAATCAAATTATAATTTTTTAATTATAATTAGTTGAATGATTATTTTTTTTAATGTGATTGTAGTTAGTTTAATAGTTCTTTTTTTTCATTTATTTATTTTATTATGTGAAAAATGTGAGGAGATTGTAGTTTGTTCAATGGCTCTTTTTTTAATATGATTGTTGTAGTTAGTTTAATGGGTTTTTTTTAATGTTATTTAATCTTTTTATTTACTATTTTAATTTTTTTTGATTTTTTAATATGATTGAAGTTAGACAAATATAAACCATCAAAAAGAGAAAAATGTGATTATAATTATTATAATTATTTGATTATAATTAGTTGAATGATTCTTTTTTTTTTTTAATGTGATTGTAGTTAGTTTAATAGTTCTTTTTTTTCATTTATTTATTTTATTATGTGAAAAATGTGATGTGGTTGTAGTTTAGTTTAATAGTTCTTTTTTTTTCATTTATTTATTTTATTATGTGAAAAATATGATGTGATTGTAATTTATTCAATGGCTCTTTTTTTTAATATGATTGTTGTAGTTAGTTCAATATTTTTTTTTAAATGTTATTTAATATTTTTATTTACTATTTTAATTTTATTTTTGATTTTTTAATATGATTTAAGTTAGATAAATATAAACCCTCATAAAGAGAAAAATGTTATTATAATTAGTTGAATGATTCTTTTTTTTAATGTGATTGTAGTTAGTTTAATAGTTCTTTTTTTCATTTATTTATTTTATTATGGGAAAAATATGATGTGATTGTTGTTTGTTCAATGGCTCTTTTTTTTTTAATATGATTGTTTTAGTTAGTTCAATGATTTTTTTAATGCTATTTAATCTTTTTATTTACTATTTTAATTTTATTTTTAATATGATTGAAGTTAGATAAACATAAACACTCACAAAGAAAAAAATGTAATTGTAGTTAGTTCAGCGGTTCTTTTTTTAATGTGATTGTAGTTAGTCAATGGTTCTTTTTTTCATTTATTTATTTTTTTATTATGGAAAAAATGTGATGTGATTGTAGTTTGTTTAATGGTTCTTTTTTTTTTTAATGTGATTTAATCTTTTATTTATTGTGTTTAATGATTTTTCTTAACAATTATTTATGAAAAAAATATGATTATAGTTAGATAGCATAAAAATATTTATGATTTGATTTGATTTTTTTTCTGATTTGATTTTTAAAATATCAATTATTGATAATGATTAGATTATATTTTGAAAAAAAAATGTAATTGATTTTTTTAACTCACTATGTTTTTTAAAAAATGTCACTAATTGTTTCAACGACAGTTTGAAAATTTTATCTATACTATATATTAAGCAAAAGGGGTTTTTAACCCCCAAGGCCTGTGAGAGTTTTAATATCCCAATCTGAATTTTCTAAATTTTTTATGTAAAAAAAAAACCTCAGCATTTATTGATTTGGTCAAAATTCTCTGATCAGTATTTATTAACTTTTTTCAATTCACATATCTTTTCACATGTTTGCATTTATTGATTTGGTCAAAATCCCCTGATCAATATTTAAAATCTCATCATACAAATAATTATAGATACAATTCGTGTATAGTTGCTATAGTACCCTTTTTAACTTCTCTCATACACTATGACTAGTGATAAAATTATTAAATTATTTTTATAAAAAATCTTAAAAAATATAATTTATATCTTAAAAAAAATCTAAAATAAATATAAATATTTATAATTATATGTAAGCTAGTATATAAATATATAAATATATGTTTTTGTCTCTATTAATTATTTTAACCAAAGTACGAGTGTTTCTGATCTCAAGGAACGGAGTGTCGGCTCCTTTTCAGTGCTGCTGCTGCTACTACCACTCTCTCTCTCTCTCTCTCTCTCCCTCTGTCTCTCACTCTCCCCACACACACAGAGCTTGAAGAAGATGTCAAGAAGAAGAAGAGTTTCTGATTCTTCCATTATTGGACGAAGAAGAATTGCTGATCATAATTGTCAAAAAGGTACAATATTTCCCTCATTCTTATTTCCTCTGTTTCGTTCTCTCTCTAACACCACCACAAGCCCTACTTCTCCTCCTCCTCCTCCTGCTGTTGCTGTAATACCCAAACAACGATGCAATTTGGTTCCCAATCATCTTCAATCTGCTTTAATTTCGTTCAATCGCATGCTCCAAATGCGGCCTTTGCCCCCCATTTCTCAATTCAACAAAGCTTTAGGGCTTATTACGAAAATGGGTCATTACGCCATCTCTCTTTCTCTTATTCTCAACAAGTTGCAACAGTTCCAAGGCATTCAGGTCGATCTCTACACCTTCAACATTGCTATTAATTGTTATTGCCGCCTTAATCAAGTCCATTTCGGCTTCTCTCTGTTAGGTTCCCTCTTCAAACGCGGTTTTACACCTGATGGAACTACCTTCAACACTCTGATTAATGGACTTATTTTGGAAGATAAAACCCCTGAAGCTGTAGAATTATTTAAGAAATTAATCACAACTAGAGATATTGAACCCGACGTCATTATGTATGGAACCATTGTTAATGGGCTCTGCAGAACCGGGAACACTGTCAGGGCTGTTAGTTTGCTTAGGATGATGGAAGAGGGGAGTGGTAAACCTGACACCGTAGTTTATAACACAATCATTGATAGTCTTTGCAAGGATAGAATGGTGGATGATGCTGTGAAACTCTTTACAGAAATGAATGAAAAGGGTATTTTCCCAGATGTTGTCACTTATACTTCTTTGATTCATGGCCTATGTAATTTTGGCCGGTGGGAGGAGGCTACAGAAATGTTAAGAGAAATGTTGGATAGTGGTATTGCTCTGAATGTTCATACATTTAATGTGTTGGTGGATGCATGTAACCAAGGAAGGGACGATGAACAAGGCAGAGGAGGTACTTGAAGTCATGATACAAAGAGGTGTGGATCCTGATGTAGTCACATACAATACTCTAATGGATGGATAGGAGCATTCACCCTAATATTTTTAGCTATAACATTCTAATCAATGGATATTGCGAGAAGATGAAAATAGATGAGGCCATGCATCTCTTTCGAGAATGGCCTCGAAGGGGGTTGAAACACAACAGCGGAACTTTCAACACTATGTTACAAGGTTTGTTTCGATCAAATAGATGTGGAGCTGCTCAAGAACTTTTTAATGAGATGCAAGTTGTAGGCATAATTCCAAATTCTCAAACTTATGGTATCTTATTGGATGGATTGTGCAAAAATGGGCATATTTCTGAAGCATTGTCATTATTCCACATGATGGAAAGGAACGGTTTAGATCTTGATATTGTTATGTACAATATTCTCATTGATACATTCTGCAAGGATAAAAAGCTTGATACTGCAAGGGCCTTTTTCAATAACCTTTCTTCCAAGGGGTTACATCCTGATGTTAAGACATACAATATGATGATACACGGTCTTTGTAAAGAAGGCCTACTACACGAAGCTAAAGAGTTGTTTGTTAAAATGGAACAGAGTGGTTGCTTAGCAGATGATTTCACTTACAACACTATTATCTGAGGATTTATTAGACAACACAAGTGCTATGAGGCATTAATACTCGTTGAGGAAATGGTTCAAAGGGGTTTTTCAGTAGATGCATCCACTTTTCCCTTGATCATAGATATACTCTCAACTAAAGGACAAGATCCTGCTCTCCAAGAAGTGATACAGAAGTTCATGCCCAAAGATAGTCATGGAATGCAAGAGAATGAGTAAATTTCTTAAGCTGTAAAGGTAAGGCTATATTATACTAAAACGTGTAGCCTTTTACACTTATAAAATGTTTGTTATTTGGTGAAACTCTTTTAAATATATGTGTAGATGTTGCATCTTGCCTATATTGATATGTACTGCACGAATGACAAATGTAGTACATTGACTGGTATGAATTAACGACATTGGTTATGTTTTATTATACCTCCTCTTCTCTTACTCTAGGATGAAATTATTAGTATAAATTAAATGGGTTGAGATTGATCTCTATTAGCAAGAAGATTGGTCATGGAATTGTTCCTTTTGTAATTCCTACAGTGCTATATTAGGCCAAGTTTGGCATGACCTAAATAATACAAAAAGTCAAAAAGTTACTATCCTATTTAAGTCACATCATCTTATTTAAATCACATCACCTCTCTAACACATCACATCAAACCCAACCCAACCCAAACCCAACCCATATAAGCCAATAAGTCAAAAAAATGCACTTTTTTAGAACATCCCAAACCAACCCTTAGTTGCTCTTTGCATGAAATAGAAAAAGAGTCATTGTCTTGTTTCAGTACATGACTCAAAGATACATAAAGTCTGGCTTCTACTAGCTTTTGAATTCTTTTTGCAATGTGCAAGCAAATCAGAAAACCCAACTTGAGAAGCATTTAAGCTAAATTAGTTTAGGTCTATAACATGGATACAATTTTGCTAGTCACCATTTTCAAAGTTACATCTTTCATTCTTTTCATACAACACTCTTTTTTAATGGAATGCGGATTAAGTAGATTAAGATAGCTTAGTGAACCGTTTTTGCTAGTGTATTTTAAAAATGATTGACTGGGTTTGTAGCTTGCTTGGTTTATTAGCCCATATTTTGATGTTACCAATTAAGGACTCTTTGGAAAGAAAGATTGGTTTGCAACGAAGGGGTTCTGGTATTGTTATATGGTACTGTGATGAGATTTGGTTATATATAGCTTGCATTTATTAAGTTAACTACAGATTTGGTAGTTCTCATATGACCCTTGGGGTGATTTTAAAAGTTTCCTGGTATGTATCCTTTTGATATTGGGGCTGTTGAGTCTAAAAGATATTGATATGGAACTATACCATAGCTAGAGTGGAAGTGAATTATCGAGGCATAAGTACTAACAAAGTGGCTAGTGGCTACTCAACTGTAGGAGGCGAACCTGTGGACAATTGGTCCAACTGTTGCGTTGTAATGCTTCAGAACACAAGGCTGCAGTCTGCCGAGGCCATGGATTGCATAGTGTCTAACTAGCAAATGTTTCCTGGACTGATTGATGAAAGACACAGAAAGGGTTGCAACGACCCATACATAGAGTGACAATTGACATGTCCCAGGAATGGAAACCCTTTGGCTGGTAAAGTTGGCAACGTGCAACTTTCATCTTTCATTTAGTTGGCATGTAATCAACTTGATGGGCAAACCACTTTTCCAGCTTACCTATCCGATGAGGCCGAGGGTGGGAATATATACATCTGTCGCTGGGTAACTTCTAACAGATGCACCAGGAGTTTGCCGTTTTGATGTCTCCCCCTGGTACGAGGATAGCTGCCTTTTTCATTAGTCAGCTCCTTAAAGCTTCTGTTTTTTTTCTTTTTCTTTTTCTTTTTCCGAAAAATTGCCATTTGAGTTTTATTAGTTGTTAGATGTTGCTTAGTAATTTATAGATTCTGTCATGATGTTGCTCACTAAATAATTTTTAATTTTTGAGTGTATTTTACCTGTTGTATTTCACGAAAGCTGTAAAGGAGCTATACTATTTTGATTTTGAGCTTTAATTCATTAAAATCAAGCAAATGCAACCTATGGGAAGAAGATAAAGTACAGGTTGACCCTGTTGATCAACCGAAGACGAGCTCTAAAAGCCACTTCTTCCTCTTAATTCTTGGAGAGATAATTGTAATGTCCTCAAAATATCCTACAATACATGTTGAAAGAGGATAGGTTCAGGTATTTGTTTTCTTTCCGTGGTGCCCACCATTCAACCAATTGTGAGATGCACTACTTTAAGTCTATTTTCTCTTTTCTCTTCATCCGTATCTCCTTTCATTGTTGAATTATCTTATCAGCATTAATTATAACTATTCAGCAAAGAACATTGCAGAGACTGCGCTTGTCACCCATTCTCTTCCCTTATGGATTGCACTAGTTTACCTCCTTTAACCCCTTTCTATTTTATTGTTTATTGTTTTGCTTATTGCTCTCACATATTCCTCTTGCTTGTTTGTTGCAGTGCTTCTATTTGCTACCTTCCTCCCTTTCTCCTCTATATGATGAAATATGGTAAACCTTAGTACACAATCTCTCTCTCTCTCTCTCTCTCTCTCTCTCTCTCTCTCTCTGGCATAAAATCAAATGCATGGAGTAAGTATATGAATTAATGAATGCCCTGCTCTTGTGACATGTTTGTTACTTGTATGTATGATTTATGCAACTGGGATCTTGCTGGGTTAAGGAATATATGTCATGGTAGATGCAAAATTTGTCTTTGTTTTAGGAGAAGTTTTCTAGCCTTTGCTATAAAGCAAGTTGTAAACGGAATATTGTTGGAAGAACGGTGTGGCTGGCTAATGAAATTTTTTTAAAATAATAAAGGGTGTGTTTGGTTTGTGTTTGTAGAGTAGTTTTTGAGATAAAAAGTACGAAAACTTATTTGGTTTGTCTTTTTTCATAAATAGTTTTAGAAAATTGTTTTGGAGATAGAGTTTTAAATAAAGTGATTGATTTGATGTGTATGAGAGAGAGAGAGAGAGAGAGAGAGAGAGAGAGTGATTTTGGAAAGTAGGTAATCAAACAAAATTTTGAGATTTTTTTTGGAAAAATTTGTTTGGTTTGATTACTTTTGAAAATTTGTTTGTAGAGTATTTTTTCCAAAAGCTTTTCTGAAAAACAAATCAAACAAGTCCAAAATGTTCTGTGAGGCTCCAGTTACCCTCATCAATTTTTGTTGTGTAAATCTACCAAATAAAATGCATTTTTATTTTCTGAAAATATCATGCTTTTTTTGTTTTTGTTACCATTAGTAAAAAAATCCCGTGTATCTGAAAATTGATCTATTTGTTTTTGTGCAGTGCAGGTCAGAACAGAGTAGAAGAAAGTTGAAGTCCAAGATGAAGCTCAGGAGTTGCTGTAATTGTAACGATTGGTTTCACTCACAGTATTTAAAATTGTGTTTGGATATTATATTTGTCGAGAGATTTCTAGAATAATTTATTTATTTATTTATTTATTTCTATTTTTCTGTTGATTTTGGTTTTGTAAAGTGAGAAGGATATGAATGTAAATTTATCAAAAGAATTTATTTTAATATTAAGTAATTTTATTTTCCTCTCTCTATGTATCAAAGATGTGTTTAAATTTTGAAATTTTTAATGCTGTGTTTAGTTCATGAACTTGGTAAGGGATTGGTAAGGGATTTAGAAAGAAAAAAAAAATGGTAGTGAAATATGAATGAAATATAATTATATTTTTGCACATTTTTTCCTTGGAAAATTTACCCATAAGTTTTAATTTTTGAAACGTTGAACCATTTAGTCTTAAAAGTTTTTTTATGTTTCATTTAGTCCTATTTTTACATCAACATGATGTGAATGATGTAAATGATCTGATGTTCATTCTATAATTTCAAAATTTATTGAAATCTGATGAACATTAGATGTTTTTCATCCTATATTTTCAAACATTATTGAAATTTGATGAACATTAGATGTTTGAAATCCAATGTTTGTAACATGACTCTGATATTATTAACATTGTATCTGATGTTATTAACATTGTAATGGGACCTTTCAGTCTATAAGAAAACTTTTAGGACTAAACAGTGCATAAGTTATTAATTTGGGATTTATTGGTGCATCCCCCTTTTTCCTTTTTATTTTCAAATTTTTATTTAAATCTATAAATCAAATACAGTTTATTTTATTTTATTTTTAATAAAAAGAAAATGATTTCCTTGAAGAAATTATAACATTCCAAATATTAAAATATTGGTGATGTATCATAAAATAAAGAGAACCATTAAAAAAACAAATGAATTATAAACTCAAATATATGTTTTAAAAAATACATATAAAATTTGGAGGAATTTTTTTAGGGTCCTTGGTATTACGATATTATAGTATAAAGGACATACAATATTTTTATAATGTCTAAGGTCCCTCAACATGGATTCGGAGAAAAATCGATCCAAAAAATTTCTCTGGCTTCTCATAGAAATTCTTTGCCCAAAGAAATTCTAATCCAAAGAATAAATTGATACTATTATAACCAATTGAAGAAATCAAATCCAGTAACATTATTACTCAATCAATAAGAAACTCTAATAACCAGAAACTCATCATCCAATAAACACTAACCTATGCGAATCTAGCAAGAAAAAACCAAACACTTGGAAAGGTTCAGACACAATTGACAACCAATTAAGAAATCAATCCAATCAACGCAACAAATAATCACAGAGATTCTGGTTCACAGAGAATTTCTCTGTACTTCATAGAGAAATTCTAGTTCCGATAAACTCTGGTTCAATAAGAATTTCTTTGGTTGAATTTTCTTTGAACTTCACAAAAATTCTGGTTCACAGAGAATTTCTCAGGATTTTGAATTTTCTCTGGACTTTACATAGAATTATCTCCAAAATCAGAGAAATTTGTCTCATTATGTGCAGAGAATTACTCTGGAATCAAACCAGAGAAAATTGAAATTTCTTTGAACAAAATTGTTTACTTTTGTAGAATCCTTTCTCTGTAAAACCAGAGAAAATTCAAATCTTTTATCAGAGAAAATTCAAAATCTTGTACCAGAGAAAATTACAAATCCTTTACCAATCAAATCCTTTATCAAGTGAATAAAAGAGGAAGAATGAGAAGTGTAATATCTATACTAATAGTACACAACCATAATAAAGTGCTCACCACTGATCTAACAAGGTTCTAGTTGATCAGTGAAAATGAATCACAATCAGTATATGATGAAAATCTGTGAATCACAATCAATGAATCACTTCTCCATCGTCGACACCTCGCGTCCTTTCACCTCCGTCAAAGAATTTGCTGCCATCTTTGGTGAAAAGCTCCTTACTGGCGAACTCTACTCGTCTCCGAAGCCATTCTTAGCTCCTAAACAATGGAACTTTTCCCCTGTGAAAACCCAAGAGAGTGATTAAGAAGAGCAAAAAACCTTAGCAGAAACCCTAAATAGACTTGAATCGGAGCTCAAAGAGACGAAGACGGAGTTGAAGCTTTTGAAGGAGAGAGAGTCGAAGACCGAGGTGGCTCTCGCTTCGCTCAACGCGGAGCTTCACAAGAACATGTTGAGGCGAAAGCCGAGGCGGCTACTACGGGGAATGCGTCGGCCAATGCGGTGGCGAGGACAGAGAATGCGAGGAGGGAGGATGAGGTAAGGAATAAGGACATGATTGTGAGAATGAAGAAGGATAAGCCAACTTTGGCTCAGATTTTGAGTAATGAGGAAGGCTTGTTTGGAGGAAGAGAAAATGGGAGGAAAATGATGATGGTGAAGAATGAGAATTTCTCTAGGGTTTTGAGCTGGTAGATGAGATCGACGAGAGAGAGAGAAGAACAGCGGGAAAGAGAGATAGAGAGCGTGAGATGTATCAAATTTTTCTGTGATAGATGAGTGTGGATTGAGGGACCTTAGACATTAAAAAAAAATATTGTGGATCTCTTTCATTACTAAAAATAGGGGAGGGACCTTTGACTAATTTTCCCATAAAATTTGAGGTAATTACAAACAGATTCCTGACTATTATAATAAAATAAATTCTTAAATTTTTTATTTGTTTTCAATCTAATTTTTTTGTCTGTTTTTTTTATTTGTTTTCAATCTAATTTTTTTGTCTGTTTTCATGAAGAAAAAAATCAACAAAAAGTAGGTATTTTTAATTATAAAATTTAATAAAAAAAATTATATTTTACATATTTTAAAATACACGTACATTGAGTTTAATAGTTAAAATATTATTTTTTTTGTTAGTTTTATTTAATGAAAATAGACAAGTGATTTATATTGAAAAAAAAAGTTACAATTTAAATTGGCAAAAATAAAAACTAAGAATTTATCTTTAAAACTTAACAAAGAGATTAAAATGATGAGGTTAGACCATCTCTAATCCTTCACCTTTTTTTTCTCATCAAATTTAAATTTGATAAAAAAAAATGCTCAAAAATCATCTCCAATCATTTCATCAAATCAAAGAAGAGTCATTTTTTTTTTTCTCATCAAATTGAGAATTGAACGAATTTAAATTTGATGAAAATTTAAAACGATGAAGCATTGGAGATTAAAAAAATAGTTAAATTCATTTTATCCCCTTGTGGTTGGGAGTTGGAACACTTGACCCACCAATGATTCAAATATAGTTAAATTCATTTTATCCCCTAGTGTATAATATTTGCATGAACTTGTGTTGAGTCTTGATGAATTTGTTGTTGAAGTGAGACCTTTGCATGTTAAGCAGTCTCTACAACCAAATGTGCACTCCAGAAAACCAACTTTAATATGTTTTAGCTTGGATTGATGCACAAAACTACCTGTCAATGGAAAAAGTAAAAATGAAGGTCTCATGGCTAGTCTATTTCACCTAGTCGAGCAAATACACTGACTTGTTCTTTACTTGAAAATTTTCAACAAGCAAAGCCATACCTCATCTATTAAGTGAGCTTCATAAACCCATTTTTGCTATTCTTAGATTGGTCATACCTGATGACTAGTTGTGAACTAGTAGCCCTGTGGTGGATTGTTTACAATATGCACTTTCTGATCTCCTTAATCCTGGCTCTTTTTGGCATTTCCTCATCTTTTGTATCGCATTTGGTTTGAACTATGTTACTAGTTATAAGTGTTAAAGACCAGAGAGTATGGCCTGTTTGTTCTAGAGATGAATAAAACCCCTTTAGATTTCATTTCAATGCCCAGTCAATATGTGTCTAATTGTGAGAATTTCCTTTGTAGTAGAGGTTTTGTGATGCAATAATGTTGTGATTGGCTTAAAGATGACTTTGCTGGCCACTTCACCAAAAAAAAAAAAAAAAAAAAAAAGAAGAAGAAGAAAAAGTCATCTTTATTAGCCACCCTTTTGACTCAGAGCTAGTGGACTTCATGCTAAACTCCTGTATGTTTGTTCGTAATTACAAATATGCTAGTCTTTTTCATTCTCCGCTAGGAGATTGCCATGTTCAATGCAAATGCTCACTTGATACTTCATTAAATATAGATGTAGCTACTGCCTGAAAACATACATCTATTTTGTGCAGGTAAGAGAGGTGAAATTGATGTTTCCAGGTTGATGTTGATAAAAGCTTTACGGCATTATCCTTCAACAGCTCTATCTTGTAAAGAAATGTTCCCGGGTTTCTACACAAATAGGATGTTAGGTTTTATTTCTTGGCAATCCCGTTTGACAAAACTCCTTTGAGTTGTAATTTTATTCGCATTTTTATTTCAGTGAGACTTTGAGTGTTTAGATGCGAATCCAACCCGAATCAAGCCTTTCAGAGAAGTTTGTGATGCTAATATTTTCAAGATTGCCACTTCGCTGATTATGACGGGGATCGAACTGTCCGATCATGTTATTTTTTTCCAGTTTTTCCATTTTTGGCCTTCCCGCTCGAGCGGGGAAAGTGACGCTCGAGCGGGGATTGGAAGCTCTCAGCATCTCTGCAGTCGCCTGTAAAAATACTGGAAGGTGTGATTTTACGCTCGAGCGGATTCTCCTACGCTCGAGCGCATCTCAGTTTATTCGCACGCAGTTTTTGGTCAGTCCGCTCAAACGGGCTGTGTTGAGCTCGAGCGGAGATCACGGGACAGATTCTATAAATTCGCGTATTAGGTCAGATTTTTAGGATAACTGCTCCAGATATTCTTTTTGGTTTCTAGGGTTTATATCTGGGGATACTTTGGGAGTTTTCTTTGATGTTTTTATTGAGTATTCAACTCATGATCTAAAGAGAGTACATCAAAGGTTTGTTTGTTATACACAAAAGAGAGAGTTATTCTTCAGTTGTGGATTCTGAAGAATTCGAGCCTGAAGCTTTGGTGGAATCCGGAGTGGCATAAATTTCTTATTAATTTTTGAAAATACTATTGAATTGTAATTTTTCGTAAAGAAAACATAGTGGAACTGGGGTGAGTATTTGGGTTTTTTTTTTTGGTTCCAGTTCTAAACTTCTAATCTTTTAGAGTCTAATCTATTATTATTATTTTGTTTTGTTCCAGAGTTAAGGGTTTGGTTTATTGTTTTGTTATTATCAGATTGATTGAACAATCTCTTCTGAATCTCATTTTGGTTATTATCAGATTATTATCTAATCTATTATTATCTGTTTTGTTCCAAACTTGATACACAGTGTTAAGGGTTCTACGGGTTCTACAGAGAAAGGAATATAGGGAGAAAACCACAGAGAGGTGTGGAACAATCTCTTCTGAATCTCATTTTGGTTTATTATCTGTTTTGTTATTATCAGATTGATTGAACAATCTGTTCTAAACCAGATTGATTCCAGTTCTAAACCAGATTGATTGAACAATCTGTTTTGTTATTATCAGCCTTTTATTTTATTCTTACTTCTATTATCTCTTAAAATACTAACATAAATATAACAAATTTTATTATATAAATCAATAATTATCAAGTTGAGATATAATATGGATTTGACTTAGGACTGGTAAATAATTTCTTGATCTTGACAATATTAAAAGGGAGGAATAAGTTTAAAGTGAAGTTTTTATGTCAGAAAAATATCTCTAATACTTGAGTTAACTTTAATTGAGACTGTGGAAGTATGGGCAAAACATTTTAAGGTTAAACATTCTTTCAAACATTGAGACATAATTTACTGATTTAAACAAGAAGAGTAATGAATTGTTTGAGATTACTTAGAAAAATTAACGAGATTTAAAAACATGTTCAAGTTTAGTGTATTTATCTTTCTAGTCAATCCCAAACAATCAAGATGATTACTAACCGAGCTCTAACAACTAATTTTT